ATGTCTCCTCGACCAGTACCACCCAAAAAGGCCACAATTAAAATTTGGTTAAGAAATACACAGCTTAAAAGGGCCACCTTAAAATACATATAGGTAGCTACCTGTTTAATTTATTCAAATTATTTCGAAGGATAGGCCAATCATACACGAGATCGGGAAAATCGCAAACTCACGGCTAGTTGTGATTTTTTAATACATTGTTAGGACCACTACCAGTAGTGTATATCCAAGCCGAGACAACAAAAATTTTCATCAATTTTAATTCAAACGTCTGCATTCCACGAAAATCCAACACAATGTGTTATCCAAGTTAGACAAGTTGATTGATTGATAACCCCTCTTGTTAATGAATTAAGAAGCCCATAATATGCTCGTTTGCTCAGCCAAAAATTATTAGGGGTGGGTTGATAGTTTTTAATAAGTACAGTATGGCAAGGGCTCCACTGAATTTAAAAAAAAATTAATATTAAAATTGCATAAAATATGGGATGGGAAAATTCAGAAACACACCTAGAAAATAATCAGCAAATGGTAATAGGTAATTCTGAAAAAGAAATAAATAATGCACACAACTCAAACTCGACGTATAGGTAAACCATTAAAACAATTAGGTAAAATTTCAAATTAAAATAGTGTTGATGCAATGATTTCGCGTTAACTTTCTTGTGGGTCAAATTCGACCCTGTATAATAGAGGCTTGCATTTTGCGTTCCATATATCGCTGAAGGATAGAAGCGCATTGCGGACCTCCTAGGAATACCTAGCGAAAAAGGTAGAACAGTACCGACAGTACCATCGATTCGATAGATTTGGTCTGGTGCGAACTCACTCCATTCGGCGGTCCCTTTTGCAAAAGATTTTCGCGACCGTTGAGTTTTTCGTCCATTTTTCGCCTTTTAACAATTGATCGTGTGTTTATGCCTTCAAGGGGCGCCCCAAAGTTACAAGACCACAGAAGCCAAATTGGGTGAGCGACAAACAACCTTTTTGCATGACCTCACTTCATTTCTTATTTTTTTCGTGTAATAAGGACGCAATATTCGCTATGCAGTCCACTAATAATTCAACCGTATTAATTGCATCCTCAATAGTATATATTTTCACAGTGAGGTTGAAAATCAAAAATTAAATAATTTCCAAAATATAAAATCCAATACTGGTAAAACACTTTAGGTCAAATCAATAAAAAGAGGTCAACTTTCAATCAGATTCGTCAAGCTCAATAAAAAATAATAGTATAATAACAAATGCACCTCGATATACTTGCCTTATAAGTTCATTAACAGTCGCTGGCCATATAAATTTGAGACGAAAATATAAAGAATCAAGTTTCCAGAAAACTAATTAAAAAAAAATTTGAATGATTGAAAAATTCTATTAATAAATATGGTCAGCTTCTGCAAAAAAACGAATTCAAAAAAATCAATTTGTACGTGTAAAAAAAATCGAAAGTTGGGTTATAACAGTCAAATGGTCGACATAAGGGAAATCCTCTAATATATAAGTTATAGGAGCTCGGGTTAAAAATTGATCAATTTTCGACGGAAGGCTATTACTTAAGAATTTTAATTTCAGAACATGTTGTCCAATCTTGACCTTTGTTCAGATTACTTACTGATTATTATTGATAAAATTGATAAAATATAAGGCAATATTGAAAGTTATGCTAAGACAAATCCATAATAATTTCGATAAATTGAAAGCTAATTTTTCACCATCGTGTCAAGAATCAGAGAGCATAAATGTTGCATGAAAATCATTGAAAAAATTTCTTAAATTTGTTAATTGACTGTGAAACTGATTTACTAAAAGAAAAGGTATTAAAAGTTATTAGAGAAACGTAATACAAGCCTCCATTCCCATAAAAGGTAGAGCACGGAAACCATCCATCCTCAGTCACTTGTCGAAGGGAACCGCACATGCAACTTTCGGATTCCAGCCCAGAATCCAGGCAAAAAAGGGGCTAGAATCGTCATCAAATATGGGGCACACATATGGACCTGTGAGGGTCTTGATTTTTGTAGGGTAGGAATCCCTTCAAAAGCTCTATGCAACACTCTACGGAAATGGTGTTCTATTGAAAATGTGGCCTTTTTGGAATGGTCATGTTGAGAAAAACAGCTCTCCGAAAGACCCTAAGTAATAAGGTATTACTTGAAAAGCTATTACTTGAAAAAAAATTAAAAAAACTTACCACGAGGTGGGTTGAAATTCAAACTTAAATTAAATGGAAATCACAAGGCTTTTTGTTTCAAATTTTTTGCAATTAACAGATTATTGCCTCACGCAACTGAATTTGTTGAGAAAAGGGAATGCCCGAAGGTACTTTATTTTTCTCCACGAGAACGGTAATTTCAATTGAGGAAGATGGCTGCCCCCAGCCCAGCCACATTTGATTTTTTTGGAACAACGGCCAGATTAGAAAAGGAGCCCTTCAATTTTCTCTTCCAGAATTTTTGACAGTTTTGAAGGAAAACACTGTCAACCTGTCGACCTTCAGCTATGTGAAAAGTACTACGTTCGAAAACTATTACCGAGGTTAAAGAGCAAAGAAGTACTAGGGTCGAGTAGATCTAGGTAGTACAAAAGAAAGCGCCTATGGCTTTCTCGAGGTCACCGATAAAATCATTAATTCAGCCGGCAATAGATGCCGCCATATGGCCGAATAATAATATAAAATTACAAAATGTAAAAATTATTTATATAAAAAAAGCAAGTGACATTTGCAATGTTACAAGCTTCGAAAGACCTGTTGTAACTTCGTATCACTGGAAAAAACGCGAAACACAGCACGTTCTGTTTCACGAAATTTGTATGCGAAACCATTTATGCTCTCGTGTTTCAGAAACGCCAGTGTGCGCAGCCTCATTTGAATGTATGTGTTGTGTGATGACAAGTTTCATGGAACGCCATAAAATTATTATTGGTATTTGTGATTTGTGACATTAAGAAAATGAGTGAACGTGTGAAGCGATTCTTTTGAAAAGTTATTGACTGTTTAAAATATAATATATTTAGGGCCGCTTTATTCACCTTGTGATAAACTGTCAGGTATGCGATCTGACGGATGAAAACGCAATCTGTAATCCCATTAATCGGCTAGTTATCCGCCGACCAATAGAATTATAGAACGTTGAATTTATCTTGCAGATAGATTCCAGCAAGTTTATCTGAAGATGAGTAAAAACCCGGCCTTTGTCGTGTCAAAACTGTCGGTGAAAAGTGGATCAATTATTCGATTTTGATTTCCAGGCTACTAGATTATAGGTACCTCCTATTCTAATATTGTTAATAATTGATGTAGTTGTAGGGTATGCTAAGAAGGGCCGGTTTATCGTAACGGCCCGGGCCAAAAATTTCCCCTTATCCGGGCCTTGTTCATGACATGATTAAAAAAGCGTAGAAGTGCCACACCAATTTGGGTTTGATAATTCTGACGTATGTATAAGTCAGAATTCTGACATAAAAGTCAGAATCCTGAAATATGTCAGAATTTTGAGATATGTGTAAGAATTCTGAGATATAAATCAGAGTTCTGAGATTTAAGTCAGAATTCTGATATATAAGTCAGAATTCCGGCCGGCCCTACCATAGGGCCAACTTAGCGAGCGTCTAGGCGCTCCAGGCGCCAGACCTCGGGGGGCACCTGCGACTCGTTCCCTGGTAATAAAAAAAAGAGAAAAATATATTTCTGCTTTGAATCCTGTCTTCGCTTCTGCATTTTCTGCTCTGCTTGCGATCAAGCGTCTGGTTAGGACACATGTGATAAGACAGATAGAGACATATTATATTATATATGCTCAAAATCCATACTCGCGCGTATACTTCATTCCTATAAATAAGAAACTCATTTGCCTTTTATTACTAGTTATTGGCCATAAACAGGAGCCGAAACCCAGCAGTAGGTAGGTAGGGAGACGGGTGGGTTGTCCCAGCCCAATGCCTTGCTTGAATTTATTTAATGTTAGGAAACCACTTTTTTCACATTAAATGAATCTAAATTTATTGTAATGTTGCAATAAATATTGCTACTATGAGCAATCAAATCTGGCATGAAATGATTCACAAGCGTTTGCCGTACGAGTGGTATAGTCGAACTCTCGTTGGTCCATACGTCCATATATAAGGAGAAAATTGGACATCTTTGTTGAATATAAATTTTTGCCAAATAATCGGCCTATCTGACTACTGATGTTGACCGTTTGGCTTGTACGACATCCAGTCTAAACATTATCATAATTTCGACTTTTGTCTCAATATTCTGACTTAGAACTCAGAATTCTGACTTACACTTATCTAAGAATTCTGACTTATATCTCAGGATTCTGACTTATATGTCTGAATTATCAAACCCAAATTCGGGTGGCCCTTCTACGCTTTCGTACATGATAAATATTTTGTTTAAATTTGGTGAGGGATGAAAAAATTTTGCTGACGTAAAATCTCCCATTTTCAATGCAGCTGACGATAATTTTTATATTTAATTTTATTGCAACTGAAACGTGACAAATTTTCTTGAGTATTGAAATTATTTTTTAGCTTTATTACTTTCACATGTTTTATATTTATGTTATAGTCGGCTCTAGATGTAAGCAACTGACGCTTGATTCACTTAAAAGTATATTACAACCATTATTAAATACAAAAATTTCGGGAGGTATGAAAACACCGACAAAAATGCTGCCTCCTAGACTAACACGACCGGCCCTGCCTGAAAAAGTTGCAAATTTATGAGCTTTTATGACCTAGGGTAGCATTTTTATTGTAGTCAAAAAGCCAATGGAATATGTTGAAAAATTCTTTATCAAATGTAGAGGGTTTTCATTAGGAATATTTTGATCGGGTTGTAGGTAGCCGAAGTTCATTACTGTATCACATAACTGCATTCAACTGCCGAAACGCTTTTATCCATTTTCATCAAAATTTTCGGATTTGAAGTTTTAGCCCACTGTGTTTTTTCAAACTGTTGACCTGTGTTTTTTTTACAACAGATTTCTTACCTGTTATTGTGTTCATCTGTTCATGAAAAGTCGTAGACCCCAAAATTTGAGCAAATTTAGGTGTTTCATCTCTCAAATCTTCTTCCACTGAAACGTTCCATATGGAATAAATAGATGCCATACACTTTATTCTGATCAGTCCTTGAATAACGTGAGACTTTTCTAACTTTATTTCCATTTTTGATCTGGAAGTCCACAGTCCCAACAATGGAATTTGTTCGTCTCGTTTCTTGTATAATCTTATAGCATCTGTATTGCTTTCTATCTGCAATATAAAAATAATTTTCATAGAAACTAATTGAACTGCACCTAAAAAAAACTAGTTCTATACATGTATTTTTTAATATATAGTAAAGTCCATAGAAACTAATTAGGCTTTGCCTGCGGCTTGGCATAATTCTAAATTACGAATTGAGTTGTAGTGCAGGCGCTACGTCATGTCACTTGTGCAGTTATATGACCCTCTGTTTTTGAGCGGGGCATTATCAAACACCTATAGGAGCTTAAAAAATCATAGGTCACATATTTCAGATAATGGTCGTTTGGTCGTCATATTATTTAAAAATGACCGCCACATTGCTAGATTTTTTGTTTGACTAAAACTCCGTACACAGTGCTCCGATTTCAATTTTTTTAAAGAACGTCTCGCTCATTTTTAGAAGGCAAGCAAATTTTGTAATTTAACTTTTTTGTAAAAGGACATAGTTTTTGCAATAAGACATAATTTTGAAACACACAACCATTATAGCGCATTTTCAAACGACTTAGCCTGTAACCGCAATGGCATGTTCTCGGATTATTTAGAAATGACTTTCACATTTGTTTGTACAAAAAAACCAACTTTATTAACTAAAATAAATACGAAATAAAGTTAAAGGTCAAGAACGAAACAGGTTGTACGAAAGTCTCTATTGAACTCGCCGAGAGGGCGAAAGGCAAGGGTCGCTGTAGATGGCTCTGGAGCGGCGCGGTGTTGCCGGTACGCTTCATTCCGCCCACCTTGAATAGATGTCATTCAACAGGATATATTCACCTTTAGACACATAAACAAAACGCTTTATGCTTAAATCTAGTTTATACATAGAGGAAGTACATACTACAGAACTATTACTTGTTTTGCCTATGTAATTGAACTTGATACATACACAATAATGAAATATTTATAGAAACAATTTTTTTATATATATTTTAATAGGCATTATATGGAAATGGAAAATTTTATAATAATTACCTACAATACAGAACATTATCATCAAGTGACAAACAACAACGAAAAATTGTTTAATCAACAATGGTTAACCTAAGCTCCTGAGTTTTAAATATTAAATAAAGGGCATAATGCAAAAAACAGAGAAAAAAAATAAAGAAACTCTTCACCATAATATCAGGAGCATTTTCAAAATGCTAAGTGGGTTAAATGTACGTATATTAGTCCGGAATTGGTAACGCACACACCTTTCGAACTGCGCGTGTGAAAGTACCTTTCGCGGATTTAACTGTCACTACCCGTACGACTCCATCCGCACCTGGATGAATGTTCACCACTCTGCCAACTGACCACTGCAATGGAGGAAGGTTGTCGTCGACTAATAAGACCATTTTCCCAATGGTCAAGTTATCTACTGGTGAAGCCCCTTTACCTGACCGCTGTTGGACTTCCGTCAGGTAGTCTTTTGACCAGCGCTTCCAAAAATGTTGCATTATTTGTACGAGATGCTGGTATCTGGTAAGACGTCCAGTCTTGACCTCACACAAGTCTGGTTCCGGCACCGCAATCAAAGAGCTTCCAATCAGAAAATGGCCGGGGGTCAATGGATTCAAGTCATCGGGATCGGTTGATAATGGCGATAGGGGACGGGAATTCAGACAGGCCTCTACCTGCACTATAATAGTATTGAACTCCTCATATGTCAAGGACGCCTTTCCGATTACTCGACGCAAATGATACTTGACCGCCTTGACTGCTGATTCCCAAATTCCGCCGAAGTGCGGGGATCGCGGTGGAATGAAATGCCAGTGTATGTTGTCGACAGCAAAAAAATCAGCAAACACGTTTTGATTTTTACTTTGATTAAAGAACGTCGTCAGTTCGCGACTGGCACCTACAAAATTGGTGCCATTGTCTGAATAAATATGCTGACATTTACCTCTTCGCGATGTGAAGCGCTTGAATGCATTAAGAAATGCATTGGTTGAAAGATCAACCACCAATTCCAGATGTAGAGCCTTCGTGAATAAACAAATAAAAACACATAAGTAAGCCTTGACCAGCTGCTTGCTTCGTGCTAACCCTACCTTAATGTAGAACGGGCCTGCATAGTCTACGGCACAGTTTAAGAAAGGCCTGGATGGAGTCACTCTTTTTTCTGGCAGTTGACCTAATAATGTACTAGCTGTAGTGGGTTTAACCTTAAAGCATACGACACACTCTTTGAGCACTCTACGAACCTCATTTCGTCCCGCGATTGGCCAAAAGCGTGTGCGTATATGCGCTAACAATGCTTGCGGTCCCGCATGTAGAAGCTTGCGATGCTCATAGGTAATCAAAAGCTTGGTGACGACATGACCTTTCGGTAGAATTATTGGATGCTTAAAATCATAATCGAGGTTGGAATGTTTCAATCTACCGCCCACCCTCAGCAGCCCATCGTTGTCTAAAAATGGATTTAAATTTTTTAGTTTACTTTTATTGCTAACCACAGTTTTGTTCATTAACAATTTTCTCTCCTCGAAAAAAACTTGAGTTTGAGCAAGCTTGAACAAACGTTTCATAGATAAATCAAGTTCTTGACAATTCAATGGACCAGTTTGAAATGGCATTTTCAGAGCATTATTTTTAAAGCGTAAAATATATGCAACTACTCTTTGTAGCTTTAAAAATGAAGAGAATTTGAGAAACAAAGATAAGTCGGGTTCAGTGGCAATCATAATTTTACTGGTAGTTTTTCTTTCAGGGGTTTCTGCAATTTTTATTGGCATGCTAGCTGGCCAGTCATTGAAAACACGTTCTAGCCATTCAGGACCGTGCCACCATATTTTGGAATCACTCAGTTCCAATGGGTTAATACCTCTGGATATAATATCCGCTGGGTTATCTTCAGAGCGAATGTGTCTCCAATTATTTTTGTCAGTCAACTCTTGGACCTCCGCTACCCGGTTTCCGACAAATGTTTTCCATTTGTATGGTTCGTCAAGGATCCATGTGAGAGTAATGCTGGAGTCACACCAAAAAAATAATTGGTCGATATGCAGGCTGAGCGATTTCATAGCGGCATTGCTTAATCTCGCACCCAGCAGTGCACCGCAAAGTTCTAACCGTGGTAGTGTTATAACTTTCAGTGGCGCTACTCTCGATTTAGCACATAGCAAGTTCGTGGAAATGACACCTCGAGTATCTACGGATCTGACATAAATGCAGGCTCCATAAGCCGTTTCAGACGCGTCGCAGAATGTATGCAATTCGATCCTTATCGGACTCCTGCAAATAACGTGGCGAGGTACTGAAATATTTTTCAAGGACTGCATTTGTTCTTGGTAGGTTTTCCAGGTGGTGTAAATCTGCAGTGGAACACTTTCATCCCAACCTAGCGATAGTTGCCATAGTTGTTGTAGCAGAATCTTTGCCCTAATTATTATTGGACCCATCAATCCAAGAGGGTCGAATATTTTCGAAATGAACGATAAAATCGTTCTTTTGGTTACATATTTAGATGTTACACAAATAGTTTGCAAATTGTAGAGAAAACTATCATTCTGGCTATTCCAGACTAACCCCAAGGTTTTGGCTTCCTTATTTTCGGAAAACTCCAAATTTTCAATGTTCAAATTTTCTTGAATAATTGAGGTATGATTTGACCTCCATTTCCGAAGCTCAAATTGACCTTGGAATAATATTTCTGAAATTTCCCTCTTCAATTGTAGGGCCCCCTCGATGGTATCAGCGCCTGAGATGAGGTCATCAACGTAGAAGTCTTGTTTGATGATATTGCTTGCTTGGGGCTTCCTGGATAAATTTTCTTCAGCTAGTTGATGCAAGCACCGCACTGCCAAAAAAGGAGCGCAAGAGGTTCCATAGGTGACAGTATTTAGGGTAAAGGTTGTCAATGGCAGTCTCTCATCACTTCTCCAAAGGATCGCTTGAAGATGGCGTTGACTAGTCTCAACATTTATCTGCCGATACATCTTTGCACAATCAGCGGTTATAACATACAGATGTTTTCGAAACCTCAGAAGAATTGAGAACAGATCTTGTTGAATGGTTGGTCCAGTCATTACCACGTCATTTAAGGACATTCCTGATTCCGTCTTGGCAGATGCGTCGAACACTACCCTTACCTTTGTTGTTGAAGAAGAATCTTTAAACACACAAGTATGTGGCAGATAGTTCAGCCCTGGCGAGTCAGAATTTACCTCGGACATGTGGCCAAGTGATTGGTACTCATCCATAAAAGCAACATATTGCGCCTTCAAGCTGGTGTTATTGTGCAACCTTTTTTCTAAGGCATTGAATCTTTTTAGCGCAATTTCCCTGGACTCGCCCAATCCTGTTATCGCATGCTTTAAAGGAAGCTGAACCGAAAATCTTCCATTTGCCTCACGTGTATGAGTGGATCGAAAGTTTTCCTCACAAGCCTTTTGTTCAGAAGACCACATTGGCCTCGTCTCACAATGCTCTACCTGCCAGAAACGTTCAAGTTGCTTTTGCAAATCCAAATTCAAAGAAAAATGACACATCGTCTTACTAGGATTATTGTCTATATTAGCAACTTGACCTGACAGGATCCAACCCAATTTAGTTTTCTGTGCTAATATTTGAGTATTGGCTAATTTGATCTGCCCAATGCAGAGTAGATTCCAAAATATGGATGCGCCCAACAAGGCATCGATTTCAGAAGGTACATTACACAATGGGTCTGCTAAGTTTATATTTTTAGGTATTTGAATATTTGATAAATTGATGTGGTTTACAGGCAAGTTTTCAGTTATTTGATTAACCATAAGAAACGAAAGATTAATTTTGAAATTATTATAAACTGATTTGATTGTTGCTTGCGTTTTTTGTGTAACATTTGTACAAGCTTGACTCAAACCGGAAATAGGAATATTTACACTTTGTTTGGGTAACTTAAGACGTGCACAAAGATCCTTCGTAATGAAATTACTTTGTGAACCTGAGTCCAAAAGAACTTTGCATTTATGCAGTTTACCAGAATAATCATTAATGAAAACAATAGCCGTAGATAACAAAACCTGATCGTCTTTAAA